TGGATGTGCATCCCACAAATCTCCATCAACTGCAAGATGCTATCCTATCAATATGGGCCAACATTTCTAAAGAATGCTTTCAGCACCTTCTTGAATCAATGCCACTTAGAATTAAGGCAGTTCTGAAGGCGACAGGGGGTCAAACACCATATTAGTATGGTGTTCCTAATAATCCTTTAGGTGAGTGTATATAATATCCTTACACATGGCTATATTGTAAAAGCTATCTTTATGTCACTGCTTTGTTTCAAAGTACAAAATAATGGGACAAACATGTTTGTTGCTATGATGAGTCATTTTTGTATTCATGCAAAAGTATTTGATTCAATATTTGTATTTCATTTTAAGCAGTCTAAGACTATCCATAATTTAAACATTTACTATTGTGCATGTGGCAGAGGAATTGAAAGAAAGTTAAGAAAGATAATACTAAAAAAGAACTAAAATTAGAAATCTAAAAACTGGGACAAAAATGAAACGTTTACCAATAATTTTAACTTACGGCTGGACTACATTAAATTGGATAAATAGAATATAGGCACTGCACACTTTATTAGGTAGACCTTGCTAGTACCAGGTTGGACCCCCTTTTGCCTTCAGAACTGCCTTCTTCATAGCATGGATTCAACAAGGTGCCTGAAACATTCCTCAGAGACTTTGGTCCATGTTGACATGGTGCAATCATGCAGTTGTTGCAGATCTGTTGGCTGCACCATCATGATCTCCCGTTTCACCACATCCCAAAGATGCTCTGTTGGATTGAGATCTGGTGACTGTGGAGGCCATTTGAGTACAGTGAACTCATTGTCATGTTCAAGAAACCAATCAGAGATGATATGAGCTTTGTGACAGGGTGTGTTATCCTGCTGGAAGTAGCCATTAAATGCTGGCTACACTCTGGTCATATATGGATGGTCTGCAACAATACTCAAGTAGGCTATGGCATTTAAACGATGCTCATTTCATACGAAGGGGCTAAAAGTGCTAAGAAAATAACCAGCACACCATTAAACGACCACCAGCAGCCTGAATTGTTGATACAAGGTAGGATGGAGCCATGCTTTCATGTTTTTACACCAAATTCTGGCCCTACCAGCTAAATGTCACATCAGGAATTGAGACTCATCTGGCCAGGCAATGTTTTTCCAATCTTTCATTGTCCAATTTTGGTGAGCCCATGTCCATTGTGGCCTCAGTGTCCTGTTCTTAGCTGACAGGAATGGCACCTGGTGTGGTCTTCTGCTGCTGTAGCCCTTCTGCTTCAAAGTTCATGCAGAGATGCTCTTCTGCATTCCTTGATTATAATGAATGGTTATTCGAGTTACTGTTGCATTTCTATCAGCTTGAACCAGTCTGGCCATTCTTTTACTTCTGCCATCAACATGGCATTTCAGTCCAGAGAACTACGTCTTACTAGATTGGGCTGAAAAACAAAAACATTCTCTGTAAACCCCAGAGATGATCGTGTGTTAAAATCCCAGTAGATCAGCAGTTCCTGAAATACTCATACCCACCTCTGGTACCAAAAACCATTCTGATGTTCGAAATAAACATTAACTGAAGCTCCTAACCTGTATCCATATAATTGTATGCATTGTGCTGCTGACATATGATTGGCTGATCAGATATTTGCTGCAATGAGCAGTTGAAAAGGTGTACCTAATAAAGTGACCAGTGAGTATATGTTTCTTTTAAAGTAAAAAGCACATCAAATTGTCAGACGACATTTCCCAAGTCTGTTTATTTCACAAAGTCACACTCAAAGCATAAAAATGTTACACATTCTTGCCATCATTTTACAATGGACAATATTCAGAATATCTAAAATTACATAACCAAGCTGTTTTGTTGCAAGACAACTAATCAGAAATGACAAACTTCCATCAGTTTATTCCAAAGACTCCAATAATCTTCCATTTTATTTTGTCCAGCTGACTTTGGGAATATCATAATGCTCCGTTAGGGTATCCAGGTGCCGATTAAAATCCTGAATAAAAATAATACATTTTATATACAAAACCACTTTTGCATAACATTAAAATTATTCTGTATTTCCACTGATAACTTTTTAGGTTCATGCATAAGTGAATCAATTTTATTCCAACATAAATTTCTTACCTCAACTCTTCGTTTGTGTGTTTTTGACGCTTTTTTCAGAATCCTTTCCATTTGCTGTAGTAGATGACAATAAAATTGTGATTTTAAATATAGATATAAGGAAACTAAGACAAATAAGGAAAGTACGACAAATGTTCAGGAATACACTTCATTCAACAAATTAGAAGTAATCATTGTAAACCAAGGATGGATAACCCTACCCTATTTGCGTTATCATTAAGTTTAATGGAGTCTTACAGCAAAACTCGATATATGCATATTGCAATACAATTCCAGGTTCTTTAAAAGGCCTAATTATTGTGCCCCATCTGATCACAATGGGGTTATCATGGAACGTCATTATGAAACTACAGCTGACAGCAAGGTCAAGATAAAGTGTCGCGATCTAGTCTAAGTACTACAGATACAATTATTGGGCATTAAAATGCCGTTTTGTGAATACAGCCATTAACCTTACCCTCTTTTCCTGCATTTTATCAAACGCTATTTGGGCTGGAGTTCTTTTATCCATGTACCCTTTCTTGGTCTCTGGCTCTTCTTTCTGCGTCATCATCTGCTGCTCCAAGCGCTGCTTCATCTCCTTGTCTTTCTTTTTCTTCCTATAATGATGCCAAATGACAGACAGAGAGGAGAAACACCGCGGTCTGTTAGCTTCACAAAACATTCGGTCTAAATTTCTATAGCCGACTTCTGTGGCAAGTCCGCCACAAAAACCATGCTGACAGTTACGTATCTACACTTCATAGATATTACGGTATGTAGTAATTACTTTTTCCCCGACGAAATATCACCAGTTCCTTTAAGTTTGAGCGATCCCTTTTGCACCTTCGCGTACTCCGCCATTATTATTTTTGCCTGCTACCGCTCTTCTTCCTCCTCAGTATCATATGTACCTGATGAAGACCAACGCGAAAACGCACACTGCCATCTACTGTTGGGAATGCGCTTTAATCTATAACCTAGGGTAGGGGTCACGGACCTTATTGAAACTGAGAGCTACTTCACGGGTACTGAGCCATACGAAGGGCTACCAGTTTGAAACGCCCTCCTAAACTTATCTAAACTTCATGTATAAAAAACATGTTTTTAATGCTTTTTTTTTTTTAGATATTGTCATTTTCAAATCTATATAAATGTAAATGTGATTAAAGAAGAATAGCAACAGGATAAAATTAAATTTTAGACGCTGCTCACTGGTGAGTTTTGCTAATTTTAGAACAGGTCTTCGGGCAACTCATGTGGTCCTTGGGGGCATCCTGGTGCCCGCTCTTGTTTCATCTCCTGGTAGGTGATGAAACAAGGCTGGATACTGACTTCAGTCACTTCCCTGGCTAGATGTGCTAGTTTGGCCACGTCCTTATCACTTTATAGGGTCAGATTGACTTCCACCATTTTCATAATCCACCATATAGTGTCTATATTCAAATTGTTATCCCAGAATACTAGGGCATCCTCAATACTTCTCCTTACAGAAACACCATTCTGAATGGTATAAACACAAGGCATCCATTAAAAATGTAACAAGAGATGCCCAGTGCGGGACATGATGACATTGTATTTCTCTACATACAGTAGATATAGTCACAGTGGTACCAGATGGAGAAGTGCTGATTGCAGTGCCTCAAGACAGCATTTAAGATCTAAAAATTGATGATGCTGGTTCTCTTAATTTTCTTGTAGTTTTGTAATTATACTGAGGTCTAATCAAAGTCACTGACAGCGATACACATAATTCGGTCATTATCAAGAGCCGCATTTACGTCTGTTTGTCATAGGTAGTGGAACATTTGGAAACATGCAACCCAATCGGAAGGCAAATCACTGCAATGGCTAGGGGTCGGCTCTGGGGGTCGCTAGTGTACAAAACAACTCCCGTCGCCGGAAATACGTCACGCCGTCGACTCGGACAGCGCACATTGTGGAAGAAGAGTGTGGAGATGTCTGCTCTGTTTGGGGTTGTTAGTAAATTTAGGTTCATTGTACAAAAATCCGAATATGTTGCACACGCATTTCATTTCAGAATACAGACTTGTGGGTATGCTACAAAGAAAGCTGGTAAGCTTTATTTTTCTTAGTTAATTTTAAGAGTATCTGCAATCGCTTCAGACACTCGTCGTTATTTAATTACTGACCAGGTGTGACCTTGGTTTTGATCGATTTCGTATAAAAACGTCACGTTGGGACCCTGCATGTTTTTATTTTCCGTATACGCATTGAGCAAATTGTATATGCGTAAAGTTTGCCAAACAGCTGTTAGATTTGTTAGATATGTAGTGTTAGTTGTCAGGGTGATGCTGTCAGCCATGATATCTGCGTGGTTGGCAACTGCGGTCTTGTTAGTTTGTCAGCCTACAAATTGTGGCAGTCTCCTCACCTCTATGATATTGGTGGGGGGGGGGGGGTGCAGATCTTGCACTAAAAACTTAATTGATCTTTTCTAACCAGTTAGCTAACTTAAGAAAAAAATAATATGGGCTAAATAAACGTGCGTCAAGGCTGATGCGGGAGAATTTAAGAAGCTTCTACTTCGATTGTGTGGAAATGGTAAAATCCTACTGCCAGCCTACTGTAATCTGCAAGGATACCGTTCATACAAACGTGATAAAAGTTCATTAGTATTCGAAACTTTTAAAGCTTTAGTATTACAAAATAATAACAAAAAACACTTCAGTCAGTTTTTATATGTTCAGTACTTTGCATACCTTAAGTTTTATTATAATGCTACAAGCCCAATCGTGATCTATATTGTGGATTGTGATTCTAATCTAATGTATTTTGATATGACATTTTGGCCATATTGCCTAGTCCTAGTTTAAATACTGTAAAGGCTTCATGTGCACAGTTATTAATGCATACATGCATCATTTGCAGCTACCAAGGGGAAATCGAAAGGCATGACGAAGGAAACCCTAAAAGGTCCTGAGGTCTGCAAGGACCCTGTGCATCTGACCAGCCACGCAGTCGGGGTGAACATCTTCAAGCAGGGTCAGGATCCTCCACTGCAGCCGCCCGAGGAATATCCGGCATGGTGAGACACATCGTGCCAGTGTGCACCGCTGTGTGACTCGTCAGTAATGTGAATTTTAACTTTCGCATAGAATTCCTGATATCAGAAATACACATTGTAACTAGATACAACTGAACTTCGGATATCAAGTATTAGCATTCTAACTATAGTTAGAATTGAATTTGATATCCTCTAGAGATTAATTAAAGCTAAAGCGACTTTCCGTAGAAGGTCATCAGTACAAATCCTGTGGTCGGCAGAGTGATTTCACTGTTAGGCCCTTGAGCGGGGCCCTTGAGCGGGGCCCTTAACTGCATTTGCTCCAGGGACACTGTTTGACCTGCTCACTGATCCTCACTAGCATGTTCCTTTGGGGAAAGTGTCTCTATGTAAATATCCTATAACTGACTTGAATTTTCTGACACAGTTCCATACCACTCACACTACAATGTAAAAAGAAGTGAATGAAGTTAGTGTTCTGTCAGTGCATGATGCCAAAGGGTTTCTTTGTTGCCTCCCTTAGGCTGTTCCAGTTAAATCTGGGCCCCCCAAAGAAGATCTCTGAGCTCGACCCAGACAGCCACGGCTACTTGAAGAGAGTGAGGAAGGAGCACATATGGCGAGACAACAAATTGCGAAAAGGCAAAAAGTTTTAGCGGACTGTTTTGGGGAAACCAGAGTTCTGTGGCCGTCGGTGGATGGAGACATTGAGACCTGGGACTACTACTCTGACTAGAGTTTCAGCCGTCATCTGTCATGACTCTCGAAGATTGAACTGAGACTTGAATTTGTAATAAAGTGATCTGTTTGAGGGCGATGGCTTCCAGCAAAGTATCTGAACGCAGGATGGAGCTCGTAAGCAGTGCTTCATTGTGCATCCCATTTTTCTGCTATGAAAAAGTGGAATCGACACTTTTTCCATGCTATTTGTTCAGTGTATACTGTTGAAAAAAAAATCTCATTTTAAATGTGCATTTTATTATAAATAATTGGAAATGGAACATCACTGAGTACAGTGTTCAGTTGTTTTTAAAGTAATTGCATGTAATTTTTGCAAATGCCATAATATCGTATAATTTTATATTCAAATTTTGATTTCGTTAATGTACTGACTTTTTTTAATTTTTTTTACTTACACAAAGACCTGTTAACTTTTTAACGAAAGTCAATAACACTTCTACAAAAACAGAAGCGTAAGACAAGTTGCACGCCTCCTTGGCTTCCTTCACGCAATACGCCCAGGGAATTTGAAAGTACAAACCATCCAATGGCAATAGCAAAGCCTAACAATCATTGTTAAACCTATTTTACATTAAATATGCCGGAAGGACAAACGTGTTTGTGAGCCGCTTTACAAAGTTTCTAGAGAGCCCAGAACTATTTTTTTTCCCAAACTCTTATCTGATTTGATTTGGAAAGATTTATGGGTTTATTTGCGTGTAACATTTGCACGCAGTAAGAAACGCGACGCGGTGCATATGGGCGTTACATGTCCCTCAAAACGCGGCGGCTGGCGGCGTCTGAGGCTGAACATTCCGGAAGCGGTCCGCCGAGCAGTGGTATGCCTGTTTCTTATTTTATCTTATTTCATAACCACTAACCCGCATCACACTTTAGTTAGTACAGGTAAAGGGGAAGTGATTATACCTGACAAACAGTCTTAGACACCAGAATTAGCCATTAATTGAAATAAAAGTGTTTTGCCCGCTTCTCCTTAGTGCGCGACTGCGTCGTCGTAAACACGCTTTCGTGTGAAGGAGTCAGTTTAGGGGGGAAATACGACGTATTGATTATTACAGTACCGGGGAGGGATAGAAATAAGTCCAAGGTGATTACAAATGTTAGACAGAAATACTGCTTATTTAAGTAAAATGTCACATGATGTTTCCTGATTATTAATATTTTCAGCTAGCAGTTGCCTGTGAAATGTAAAGGGAAGGACAATCGTGTCAATGTTCCTGTGAGAAATTAATAAGAAGTACAAATGTTTTTGTTGCCACTTCAACTACTAAAACTAGGTGGATTCTTTCAGCGTTTAATGTCAGTCGCGGGGAAATAGTTTAACTCTAACAGATTTAGTTCCATCTTGTAAAAAAGCGTCAAATTAATTAACTTGTAGCAATGGCAATCATTATTAAAGTGGATTCATTGCAGCACGCATGTACACATCTGGATGATTTACGAGGAATCGATTAATCACCGAAGTATCTGATTTATCTTTGGTAAAACAGCCTCTTTCTGTGCATTAGAGGAGCCGTCATGTGCTACAGCGCATGTGAGGCTGCAGCTTTTCAAACGGCTTCAGCGCCGGACGAGCGTCGGTCGCTTCCCCTTTAATGATGACATTGGCTCCGTTGTGGCAGGGATGGGGGACTGGAGCCTGGGCTTGGGAACCCTGGGGGAGGAGGCGCTGCGCAAGCTGGCGGCAATGCTGGACAACCCCAAGTGCGGCTGGCGGCAGCTGGCCGCTGCGCTGACGGAGAAACCGCAGTTCCGCTACAGGTACGGGAGACCAGCCAGCCTTCTCCAGCCAGTCTTAACTGCTTTGGTTTAAGTTTTAAAGATCACTGGCGTTTTCGTCAGCAACATATAAATTGTATGCGTTTCAATTATTTAAAATTTATTAGGTATGTAAAGCTGCAGTTGATTGATATAATAATGGTATATTATATTGGTATAGTAACTGTCTTGTTTTGATGTAATTTGCTTGCAGTGAGAAGCAGCTGATTGGCTGCTCCCTCCAGGTGCTCAGCTCCACCGGCAGCCCCAGCCGCTCCCTGCTGGCAATGCTGGCCGACCATGCCTGCCCCCTGGGTTTCTTGCTGCACTGCCTCAAGAAGATCGAGCACCACAGTGCAGTGCAGTATCTCAGTGTTACAGGTGGCTACCGACTACTGCTACGGCCAGGCCTGCCTTGTGTCCTGCTCGGGCTTGGAGACGATATAATCTCCACCCCACCCAGACACACACATTTCTTGACTCTGCACAGGCATCCATTCGTATGAGAGAGACACTATCATTCGCAGCTTTAATGCTTTGAAGTTATCTATTGGAAAATTTATGACACATTCGTTATTTACATATACCGGGCCCTTAAACAGCCCAGACACAGGCCTATACAGAATTACCACTTACATTATAATCCACTCTGTTCATTAATGTTAATAACCCACCACTGTCTTTTTCAGTCGCCTCTGCTATCTTTTTTGTTTGTCTTTTCTTTTCTGAGCGCCTGACTTTTGACGACATGCCATCATGGCAGTTGACTGAAGGGGGGAGGGGCTGTAAATGATGCACTTTTGACACTTTTGGTGTCAAACTGCTGGAGGAAACCTTAAACACAGGGAGGAAGGACATGCAAACTCCACACAGGCAGGCTTGATGATGACAGTTTTTACCGTCACATCAAACTGTCTCAGGTTTAAGTCCGACTGGAGCACTCATGTTCCCCTCATTTTCACATGGGGGTCACTCATGTTCCCCTCATTTTCACATGGGGGTCACTCATGTTCCCC